ATGTAATACCACTCGTAAAATGCTCAACAGAACAGAAATCCTTTTTTCTCTCTCTCTTCCCGCCTGCCCCCCTTTCCTTTTTCCTCCCAAAAATGTGCTTTAGGATTATACGAACCAGTGATGGAGCTAATGATTGACTTGGGCACCCTTAAATGAGCCATACCTTGGAGTTCACTGTGGAAATCACAGTGATGCCCCCCAAAACCAAGGTGGTCCTGTTCTGCTCAAATACATGCACTTGTCCAGTCAGTTACTGCATCTTTGGCACCGAGTCAGTGACTTTTGGAGAGGCACTAATTCAGTTTATGTCCCTTCGGTACATGCTGTTGTGTTTAAAAGCTCCCCAGTTAAATTTGAAGTGCCGAAGTCCCATCTAAAAAGAGGATTTGGATAAGTATTCTTCAAAATTATGTTGGGGTGAGAGTTTTAGAGCCCATAGAGTCAGACCATGAATTACTAAATGGGAGAAACGGAATAGTTAGATAGATAAAACCTCTCTTGGAAGAGTGAGAACTAATTCCCTTATTTCTTTGATTATGACTGACTATTTTGCTTTTTTTATATTTTTATGTGTAAGAACTAATGTTAGCAAGTGACTTTATTGTGACATGTTTCTTTGATTTGTTACCATCTCGGGGAAAAAAAGCAAAATTGATCTGAAAACTAAGCTTATTAAAATAATGTCTCTTTTGCCCAGGGGCCAAGGGATGCAGAGAATGATGAGAATGACAAAGGGGATAAGAAAAATAAGGGCACATTTGATGGTGATAAATTAGGAGATCTGAAGGAGGAGGGGGATGTGATGGATAAAACAAATGGTTTGCCGGTGCAGAACGGAATCGACGCAGATGTCAAAGACTTCAGGTATGTGCACTATTAGTTAATAATTAATCAGTGGCACACTTAACATTTTTGGAAAGATTTTCCATGCTGTGGTAAAAAAGCTTTTGACTTTTTGGAACAGTGTGGTAAGGCCATTATAACATGCACTGTGAGAAGGTGGAGGGTAACATCTGACAGCTCTCATCTGTGCAGATGTAGTCCTGTATATTGAAATCTTACTTTATTTTTACACCTGTTTTTAATTACTCCGTGTGGGTTTACTATGGAAATACCTACTGAAGATGTTGACTCTGCTTATACACGAGTCTAAATGATACTCAGGGTTTTGGACTTGTTCCTTGTAGCTCTCGAGATTAAAGCCTTCTGAAATTGTGGCTGTTGCTGTAATCAATGCGTTTGTATTTCTTGCTAGCTTACCTGCTTCGCCCCATGTTAACATGTAGGAAAACCGTTAAAGCAAAATAAATGTCCTGAGGCAAATACTGCCGGCCCTTGTGTTGAGATGAACCATTTCCCCCTTGAGTCCAGTGCTTATGTTAGGTAATTAGGAAACCGCGGCAGCTACTCTAGAAAGGTTTCAAGGGAGAGACAGTGCCAGAGCATTACATGGTTAATAATTGCTGAATAGCTTTATGCAAAAATAACTTTGGCATTTCTGAAATCCTGTCTTGTTATGGCTGACTCCTCAATTGAGGAGAGAAAAGAAACTGAATTTTTTTTATGCTTGTACTGTAACAGGTCTTTGAGGCAGGGGGACTGGGGGTTTCGTGGGTGGTTTTGTTTGTTTTTTTTTAAATACAGAAACTGTTCTGTAGAATTCATTTAAGGAACTCTTTCAGACCCTCCTTTTATTTTTTTCCCCTTTACCACAATATCTACAAGCAGTTCTGATGAGTACTAGTGTCTGCTGTTAATTGACGCTGTGTGACATAGTGTTAAATGGCTGTGTGTAATGACGAGTGTCTTTTCTTTCTGCGTAGTCGTACACCTGGTAATTGCCAGAACTCTGCTAGTGAAGTAGATCTTCTGGGTCCAAACCAGAATGGATCAGAGGGCTTAGCCCAGCTGGCGAGTACCAATGGTGCCAAGCCGGTGGAGGATTTCTCCAACATCGAGTCCCAGAGTGTCCCCCTGGATCCCATGGAGCACGTTGGCATGGAGCCTCTTCAGTTTGATTATTCTGGCACTCAAGTACCTGTGGACTCAACCGCGGCCACCGTGGGACTCTTCGATTACAATTCCCAACAGCAGGTAAAGTGTTGGCCGTTGGCCCTACCCTACTGCTCCAGTTCCTCCAGGAGAGTCACCGTGGGGTTAGCGTGAGCTCAGGCTCGTGTCTTGGGGAGAGGGATGGAGGAAGACTTGGAATGGTTTCATCATCTCTGTGCCATCTGTAGAGCGCTGCACGTGTCCTTCTCGGGAGCTCGATGCAGGAGAGCTACTTAACACAACCTTCTGACCAGTGGTCTTAAGGACCAGTAATAAACAGCAGTTACCAACAGCACGTTTCTGTGTATTAATCACTTTTAGCTGGAGTAAGTCTGCATTGGAGAAGAGCTTAAAGTAGTAAAAACGGCTAAACAAAAAAACCTAAACAACCCACCCTCTAGCCCTTAAAGTGACTTGAGGGTCAAGCGGCTGTTCAGCCTCGGTGTTGCAGCCCTGCTTTGGGGTCTCCACAGTGCCGAAACAGAGCAGACCGAAGGAATAATGTTTTTAAACCACCTTGCTCTTACTTGAGCATGGTTTAAAACCTGAGGTCAAAGTCCAATACTACAAAACTTTATCTCAGCCCAGTGGGTTTGTTTGACCTTTTCTCCCACGCAAGCGGCCCAAGCTTCTCATCCCGGACAAGTAACACAAGTCCTTGCTTTGCTCTTGGCTTCTCTTGAATGCTGGGCCTAGATCCAACGATCGACTTGTAATCCACTTCTGTTCCTGCTAGTTCAGGTAATGATTGTAAACTTTTATTGCCTTCCTTCTGTAACTATGATATCCCTCAAAGAAGAATAAAATCCTTTGTTGTAGCTGATTGCAAGAGTATATAACTAGCCCTGGGTTTCCTGAAATATCTGATCTTTTTTAGCAAAATAGCCTGTTGGCACTCGGTATTGAGGAAGGGCTGTTGCCAAGGTTGTGCTAAAGACCCACCTTCAGTGAGTTATCACAGTCTTAAAAGCAACGTAAATATCTGTGTTATAGCTTAATCGATTGTTTTATTATATAGCGTGTTTGGGAGGTTAATGATGGAAATTTTTTTAATGATTAAACTAAATAACTGCTGTTTAGTTCAAAAAGGGAAAAAAAGCTAGTTTCAAGTGTTTGTCTTACTCTGGTGTAGGACCTTGAATGCAAGAATTACTTTCAAACAATGAAACATGTGTATTTTTTTTTTTTAAACAGTACTTCAGAGCTAAAGAAGTGAGCTGCTTGTTAACGACCTGTTAGATATAGGAAAATAACTGCAGGAATGTGAAGCCTGTAGTCTGCGTTTTGTCAGTGTTTTCTATTTACATTAAGGCTCATTTACAAGTTCAAGTAGTTTTTATTTGTTTCTTCCAGCCTTTAAAAAATAAGAGTTAAAATTGGGCAGATCTTGCGCCTAGATGAAAAAGCCAAGTAAGGCCGATTCCCGAAGCGAGCGCAGTATGGCTTGCTGGCTCTGGCCCTGCAGGCAGGCCTGGGTGATGGTTTTTTCCCTTTCTTTAAAGCGGAGGGGTAATATTCACGTCATCTCCATGTAATCACACTTAAAACTTTCTGCTGGGATGCCTGCGAAGCTGTTAGTTCTCTCTCGTGTCTCCGAACCGTGAGTTCTGGTGGGGAGCAGAGGTGCCGGCGGTGCGCCCACCCAGTCGCTCTGGCATGCTTCGCTCTCCCCAAGCCAGGCCCAGAATAAACAGGCCAGGCTTTAGTAAGGACTGTTATTTTACAGTTTCAGTTTTGTTGTAATAGCTACTTACACCTACAGTAAACGCAAACGACAGGCTTGTGCAAGCGTTAAGTGCCGTGTTAAAGATAAGGATTCGCTCTTCTGCCAAACGCGGCCTCTCGGTGCACATTGGTGTAAATGCAATGTATCTTGGCTCAGAGTTGTACCCATTTTCTTAAGATACGATAGCCATCAGCCAGTGTTTCTTGGTCCTCGCTGGTCTGCCAGTTACAGCCTGTGTGAAAGAAGTCTGTCTTTTGGCAGAATAGTCTTTTCCACTCGGCTGTCAGAAGGAACTGTGTCCTGAACAAAAGGATCTTGTCTGTAAAAGTGTCTTTCTCGGTCCGTTGGGAAGCGTCATATACTTTGAAGAGATTACAAGCAAGTACAGCTAAAAGCAATATTAAGAAGGGAAGGTCTTAACCACGTGTAATCTGATTAGAGATGTCAGATGTTTATATTGCAGAAGAAACTGGTTTACAGAAAATTAATCTTGCAGTGTTCCCATAACTGTATCATACAGACTGTGATGTTCCAGTTTCTTGGAATTCCCTCGATGAAGCATCATTTACAGCGTGGCGGGGAGTTCATTTGTATACACGTGTGAGAGGGAAATTGCCTCGCTTTTTGAAATGTCGGGCGATCCTACTAAACTTCTCGGAAACTATGTCAGTTGTTTGTAGGTTTTCACTCTGAGCATGATTTCTAATAAGCCACGATGTTCCATGCATACATTTTTATAACTCCAGCCTCACTGTGTAAATTACAGTTAATATTCCTGTTAAAGAGATTTCCTTTCCTCTTTCCACTTACTGGAGACCACAATTTAATACACATACATAGTTTAACATAATTTTCATATCCAGTGGGGTTCCACATAAGATGACAAAAAGCTATAACTGGAGTTTTTGCTCTTTGTTTTTTTGGAACATAGGTCTTTGCTGTCAGCAGATGGAGTCAGTGCATTGAGGCTTTAATAACGCTTCCTAAATACGTAGAGTTGACGATTCCCAGAGCTCACGTGGTGTAGGGGCTTATCTGGCTAAGTAAAGCCTGAAATTGTGATCGTTTTTGTTGGCTTTGCTTCCTTGTATATGCTACAGGCAGTATGAAATCTGCAGCTGCAGAAAATTTTAGCTGCTCACACTGAGTTTCCTCTGGGTAAGTTGAGTCTGGGTTTGCAGGCTTGCAGAAACTGTGATTTAAAGCAGGCAGAGGGAGAGGTCGCTAGTTTGAATCACTGCTCGAGTGCACAGCTTAGATACCAACATTTATCTGACCTTTCTTTGGAAGAGAAGCTAAAGATTCGAGACGAGGTCTGCTGCAGGCGGAAGGAATCCAGCCCTTCCTCAACGCTTGCGACACTGCGAATGCAGAACGTCTGCATGTGGTTTTAAAGAAGCTCAAGAGCATAGTCCGAGGAAGTAAGCATCACTAAGTTGGAGCTAAGTCTTCAGGTCTCTCTGACGTGAGGATGCAGACATACTCGGTGATTTTCTTGAGCAGATGAAAGGACACTGCCTGGCCACTCTGTTCTTTATTCCTCCCTTCTGTGATACCAGTAATTTTAAGTAAAGGAGCATCTTCTCAGTCTCCCCCTTTGAGTCTTTAGGAAGACTCTAACAACAGCCATTTGCAGAGTGGTTTGGATACTATGGCTTGATTTCAGCAAAAGAAAAATGCACAAAGGTAGTGTGTGTCTGAAAGTCAAATTTAGCAGTCATCAGCTGTGCTCACAAGAAGGGGAGAGAGCAAGCAGACAACAAAAAAAATACAACAGCAGCAGGTGAAATATTGATGCTTGAATATTGTGGAGATTTTTTTTTTTTCCCCCTAGTCCTTCTAATGTAAAAATGGATCATTGAGATGCGTTTGGGATGTGTGGAAGTCATCACACATGTAAACTGAGCACAAGAAAAAGTATTTTTCAGCGAAGATAAGTGCTTTTTTGCCCTTAAGACAGGCAACTAATAATCTAGCCATTTCCTCCGCTGTTCACCTCAGCAGAATACACATTAGTGGACTGGAAAAACAGATCCCAGGGATGCAAAAGAGTATGAAAATGAAAGGTTTTGGTGAGGTGTTTGCAGCTGTAGAAAGCTAAAATATTGGATTGCTGAACTCAATACAAAAGTAGACCACAAACCCAAGGATGGCTGTTGTAGGTGTATCTACACCTAGTAGTGAGGCAGTTTAGGGGATATGTGTATATATGGGTGGGTGGCTTATTTTTTTTCTATATCTGCTGATGTTGATCAGTGAACGAGATGTTGCTGGAGACTCCTACAGAGCCAGTGTCCCTCATTCCGTTTTCTGTAGGTCACATTGTCCACAATCTTGCTGCGTTTTTTTTAAAAAAAAAACCAAACTAAAAGATGTCAGTAAAGTGTTTGATCCAGCCACTAATGACAGATGGTATAGTAACAGAGATTACACCCCTTAGAAGCACTCAGCTTTGTGTAAGCATGAAGTATTGTTGAATGACATGTTTAAAAAAAGAAAAGAGAAAAAAAAAGGTGTATTTTACGTAAAGACTGCTAGGAATGCTTTATGGCCCTCCTGAAGTTAGGCCCAGGGAGGTAATACAGTACCTAAGGATTTGATGTGTTTCTCCATAAGCAGCATTACAACATTCCCGGGATAAACGGAGAGGCCCCATCATCGATGGGGTAAGCAATCTTTGCGAAAACCAGTGGTGACTAGGGTTTGGCACACAGAAGATCAATTCTGGATCCCCTGAGTACTGAGTTTCTGCATCTTAAATCTGATATTGATCTCTTACACGTTTTGTTTCCTCCTTCTGAACTTGCAAGAAGAGAAGAAAATAGAGGTAGACTATCGCTCATCTTTTTTCACATTTTCTGCCTAAACAGCGCAATTGCTCATCCTGCTCTCAGCAGAACCAACTCCAATTTTTGCCTATTAAAACCCCCCTAATTTTCTAAATGATTCCGTGCTTCTTCTTGATGGTTGCAAGTTTCTGCCAAAAATTTGGGCAGAATTATTATTGCTGCTTCTGACAGCTGAAGTAGCTCACTTGTCTTGTCTGAAAAGAGGGCAGAGATAATAGGTGTGAAAATTGTATAGCATTTAGGCCTTTTTTTTTTTTTTTTTTTTCCAAGTGACTGAAGAGAGAAAACCTTTATCACAGCGGTTTGTGAAGTTGTTCACACCTCAGAAATTATCACTTTTGGAAGTGGGGATAAACGTTGTTTCTGGATAGTTTCAGAGTGGCTATTCAGCTTGTGTATTCCTAAATGTTTTAACTGGAGCTGAGCAATGGTCTAATGCCGATGGATTGGTTCAGGGAGGGTTTCGTTCAGGTAGAGGCATAGGAACGTGCTGGGGAAGTAAGTTTTCCATTCACCCAGGTCCTTACTAAAAAACCCCAACCCTCGAGCAAAAATGCTTTTTCTCAAAAGACTAATGAAATCCTTTATTTTATTTTATTTTTTCTTGTTGAGAATGACTGTTCTCAATGACATTGCCCATTGCTGTCTAAGATTGTAGTGAGCTGTAAGCTGGCAAACTTGTATACGCTTTGGATGACTTAACCAAAAATTCCCTGGGTCTGATCTCTGTGGTCAAAGAAGAACTTACACCCCTTGTCTGGATTCGCGTAGGAGATGCTGGAGATGGAAACCTAGCAGGTAGAGGAGGCATTTCCATGAGCTCCCAAGGCTGGCGTCCCAGCTGATGGCTCTTTGGCCAGCCCCGAAGCCATCTCAAGAGCATCATCTCTGCACACCTCGCTCTGCAGCCTGCCTGCCGTCCAGCTTGCCACTTCAGACCATCTTGGAGTCGCGTGGGTTGCCCGCCGGTGGAACTGCGATTTCACTGCGCTCAGTGATGGAGATCTGGAAGCATTCGAGGCAGCTGCTGATGATCCACAGGCTGCAGTTAGGGGCTGTGTGTTGGAGGAGGAGTTGGGGGAAAACAAATGCCTTTCAGGCATTGTGCAGAGAATAGCAGGGAAAACCCTGGCTGTGGTTGTGCTGTACTTCAGAATACATTTATTTTTTTTTCAGGTGCATTATCACGGGCAATTGATTTCAAAGGGCCTTGTTTGGGTTTTTTTTTCCAATTCCATTTGAAATCTTTCCATTTAAAGAGGAGTGTCTGTAGTTGTGAAAATAAATCTAGTGTAAAGCCATTGCTTTAAAAGGAAGTAAGAGAATGCTTTTTGTGCATGAGTAAAGGACCATATTTGTGCTTTTTGTCCCTTTAGTTGTTCCAAAGACCGAATGCACTTGCTGTTCAACAGCTAACAGCAGCGCAGCAGCAGCAGTACGCGTTGGCAGCTGCCCATCAGCCTCACATAGGTAAGTCTTGTATTTAATACATTACATTTTACTGGACTTCTGTTAGCCCTCGGAATATGTTGGGAAAATAGCAGGAAAAAAAGATCTGTAGGATTGGAGAAGGCTAACTATGTTTTTATAACTGGTAACTGACACGCAAGCAGAAGTATGTTGTTTGGAGATTTACTTGAAAAATTCTGGAGGTATCTCTTGCACACTTTAAAAGCTCTAGAGCGTTCATGGCTGTCAGGAATGACACTCTCACCCTTGCTGAGAGTGCTGTTCAGTAATGAGAGCGTTTTGAAGTACTTGCTCGTTCCAAGTGAGGCACGAATTGGGGTAAACGGCACAGTGAAGTGAGGGAAAAATGCACAATTCAATATACACCTGAATGTCCTTCCTGTGGTTCAGCTGCCTGGGGTCTGACTTTAATTTAAAGATGTAATTTATGCAGACACATGATTCGTATTATTAAAACAATATAGATTAACTGGGAAGAAAGCACTTAATCCTGTGCATAGAAAATCAGGACAACTGTAGAAGGGCTACTCATGGATGATTGGAGTTAAACTGTTTTAGGCTTACACTTTTTAGCGCAGTTTAAGTGGTAGTTCTTCCTACCCGAAAGCCCAACACAAACGTGCTGGGACTCTCCCAGCTCTGTGCAGTGCACTTGAGTGCTTATTGGGGTTCAGCAATAGACCTGAATTAAAATTATTTAGCTTTTTAAGTTCCTCCCCTTCACCTTCACCTCCTCTCCACGCCCCTCTCCCGCCCACCGGTAATTTCTCTAATGATTAAACTGTTTCCTTGCAGAGGTAATGCCTACACAGCAGTGGTAGTGCCCTGCGATGGTGCCTGTACAGTTCTGAGCTCCTTCCAAACTAATTAATTGAAGTGCTGGTATTGTGTAGTGGGCATGGAACTCAGAAAGTAGGGTAAATTGGTTCTTGATTAGCTTGCTGTAGAAAATACAGAACAGTAACAAGCAATTGGATAATGTTCATATCTAGCTGGTGTTTATAGTCACTAAACAGGGGATGTCGGCGCTGCAGAGATACCTGGCACGTATGGGGATCGTCTACAGACTATTTTACCGCTTCAGCTTTCCTCATTGTAGAATCGTTTGGGTTGGAAAAGACCTTTAAGATCATCGAGTCCAACCATTATGGGGCCTTGCATCCTTGGAATGAAGTTTCTTCTATGTAAATTATATCCACTGCAGGTTGTTCAGTTAAGGCTCTGGGAGATGCAGTGGTTGCTCCCTCCCTGTGGAATACAACCTCTAAAGAGCTTGAAAATACTGAAAGAACCTGAGCTTTTGTGTTCGCCAGCCAGGTAGCCAGAGGTATTTTGGTAGGGCTTCAGTTCTAGTTAAGTTTGTTTTTACTGACAGGTATGTTTTCAGCAGGTTTAGCTCCTGCTGCCTTTGTCCCCAATCCGTACATCATCAGCGCCGCTCCACCGGGAACAGATCCGTACGCAGCCGGACTTGCAGCAGCTGCGACATTAGGTGAGATACCTCCAGTTGTCTGCGTATTCGCGACCACTTTCTGTACCAAAACCGCTCCTGAATCTGTGATTTTGGAAATGAAATGTTAGTACATTGACATTTCTGTGGAGAGATAATCGTAGAGCAGTGACTTGAAACAGAATTTGTCTTGGAAACTCTATTTTCTGTAGATTAAAGGTGATAATTCTTGTGTAACACTTGCTATGGGCTCTCTCTCTGTTGAGGATAAACAACCAGAGCAAATCTGAAATGAAACACTCGCAGACATAAATGTTGCTACATGTTTTGGGGTGTTTTGGTAACTGGCAGTAGTGAGAGATACCTTTGAAAATATACTTATTAAATCCTAGAAAGATGGGAGATGTGCTTTCCTGCCAGGAAAGTTGCTGTTTAGCTTGATGTACTGTAGTGCATCCTGCAAATGATATCATGTCCTTTTGCTTGAGTCTGTTAAGAATTTATGCTTTTTAGGTTCTCTAGGTAAAAACATCCCGTGTCTGCTATGAGGCTTACGCTATGAATATGCAGTTTTCCAGATGGCAGGCAAAGATGGTGGCTCTTGTCTTCCTGCAAGATCTTTCTCCCAAACGTTCATGCACCAGTTCCCAAATCCTTGCCAACTGTCATAGCCAAAATTGTTGTATCTTGAGATGACAGCTCGGTAAAACAGCTTATCAGGCAGTGTGAAGAACACATTGTATGTTGAACTTTTGCTGTGTATGCCATAAAGTTCTTGCCTAAGCCTAGAGGACAAAAGAAGAATGTACTTTCGGAAAAAACATTTTTATAACCATGCTTTTCTTTCCGTGAGCCACCAGGAGAGGAAGCCGCCTTCTACATTTTAAATAAAACCTGCTTAGTTCAGAGTAAGGATGATTTTTAGTGGAGCCTGCATGCTGTTCCCACACTCCACTTAAACTTATATACTCACTGCAAATCTCTTCCGCTATGGGATAGCTTGTGCCAAATCAAACCCATTAAACGTTGGTTGGACGTGAATATAGCGCTCTGCCAGACAGCGTTGGGGTTTGGTATGTGACTTTTTGGTGTATTTAACTGCTCTTACATAACCGCTCCTTAGCTTTTAAGCTTTGAGGCCAGTATCAGGTCAAGCTCTGAAATGGGATTTCAGCAATTGTTACCCAGTTGGATGGTGGTTTTAGGGGATTGTATGGAAGTATGTAAAGAATTGAGATTGTCATTTGAAGATGGGCTTTGGACTTTTTGTGAATTTTGTATGCCGATTGCCTAATAACAATGCAAGATTAAGTTTAGTTAACAACATGTCGTTGGCAAAGAAATGATGCTGTGATTAAATGGAAGAAAGCCAAGAGCTAGGGTACAAGGATATTTCTAATAGTCCAGGAGTCGATAAACTATCATGTGATGATGAATGTGTGGCGGTGAATGATTGACCTGAACTCTTGGTGGCAAATCTAAGTAGGAGGCTTCAGTCAGGACTTAACGGGGAAGAGGTGCCAGAACACTAGCAATTCCAGTTACAGGCAGAAGAGGTGCTTTGTAAATGAGTGCTATAAAAAGAGGATTCTGGTTGGCCTTTTTGCATCACCTCAGTGCTTCTACAGCTGGTGCTCGTTCTTCAGTAACACTGAATTTGAGTGGAGCAGGAGGTCAGCATCTTGATTTCATAGAAAGACTACATGTAACTGCTGCCAGATTTCTAGGAAACAGTAAGTGTGTTTTCAACAACTTCCTCCCCCCCCGCCTTTTCTCAGCAGTATTGAAGCTGCTGCTGCCTGAATATCTGATTGGGGCCTTATAAATTTTAGCTGGGAAATAACATACCCTGGGATACCTAAAGCATCCCAAAACTTGGCATCAGGATCTCTACTTGAATAATTTTTAAACTTTGAAAGCAAAACAAAAGAACGTGTAATGCACTGCAATGTATGTGTAGTGTTAACACCACTGAGAAATACGAGTTACTTCACTGGGCTTTGGACCCTAACAGCCAGAACTGGCAAGATAACAAACTTCACTCCTTGTGGATGTTTGTTTTAGGAAAAGCACCTTTTCTGTCTAGACTTGAGCAGTTTTGAAAGCCTTCTGTCTGTAATACCTGAGTGCAGCACTGACGGGGCGTGGGGCAATTCACATGTTTATAGCGTTATGTATAAAGTCAGAAGGCTTCCGTAATGTGTATGGGGGTGTTAAATTGGGAGGACTTGGAGAAGTTTATGAGATGGAAGAAATGAGTTGAGAGTTGTTGGTAGTTTATTGCTCACAGTGACTCTTAGAGCGGAGGGGAAACTTTTGTGTGTTTTATGGCAGAGATAATTCTGCCAATTAAGATTCTGCTGTTACGGCAGCTTTTTCGTGATTGTAAGACTGTCAGCTCTGTGATAATACCCTTTTCTTCCCAATGATAGTAGCATTTTAAAGAACAAATTTGAATGCAGAGGGAAGGGCTTCCTAGACTCAAGAAAAAAATCACTTGTGAGTTTAAACTGTGGAGCAGATACTGCTGTCTTTAAAAAGCGTTGTGAAATTACCTTCTATCATTTGAGAAGGTTGTCACTCAAAAAAAAAAAAGAAATCTTGCCTTTTGTAAGACAAGTTGGGAAATGTTGAATTCCCTCTGAAGGTGGTGTGTAACCGGTAGAAAAGTGTTTCTGTTCTTTGTAGAGAAGTGGATGCTGGAATAATCTGCATACAGGAAAAACACAGTGCTCCCAGCCTGAAGGTAGAGTCGCTTTGGATGTGTCTGCGCTGTGCATCTCAGGCTTGGGTTTCTTAGCAGCCTCCGTCACTTGGTGCTGCCCGGCGTCCCGTGCAGAGCCAGCCCAGAGCTGGAGGGGTATGGGTGCATGCACACACCGCCTGGCACCGGGGCTCGGGGGAGCACACGCAGCTGGATCTTCCCTGGCTGCCTTGGGCACGGTGTCGTGCAAGGGTGCCTCTCCTCTTCTGGATCCGTGCTGGCCCCAGGCGCTGTGCGGCAGGGTTTGCATGGGGCTGCACCGGAGCCATCCGAGTTCAGCTGTGTCTCACCCCCATCCCTAGAAAGACACCGCTTTGGGGATATCTGTGGTTGCTGTACCGGTAATTACAACGTGATCAGCTCACAGATTGGTAGTATGTGATAAAGTTGCTGTTTGCAGCCTTGCATTTTCAGGCGCAAGGTTCGTGAGGCTGTTTAACCTGACAGTCGCTAAGTCCTTGGCAAGAGGGGGCTGGCAGTTCCTGCAGAGAGCAGGTATGGCTTCTGCTTGCGGAGATTTGAGTGTGAAGGCTGAGATTAAAAGCAAAAATTTGTGTTATGAACACACTTACAGATGGTTTTGCTAATGTTTCTTGAAAGGAATATTTGTGGGTGTCCGTGGCCAATGTGTGAGACGCACTAGTGGGAATATTTGATTTCAAAGGCACTAGAACGGCTTTTATTTTCTCATGTATGTGTATCTTTAATAAGTGTAAAAGCAGGTGCAATATCTCCTGAAGTAAAGAAACGCTCTGCGTGTTTGTATGTCTGGCAATGATGACACACTTGCCCTCACTGAGAACACTGTTCAATAATGAGCCTCACCATGTGCTCAAATGAGCTGAGCCAGACTTGCAGCTCTTTTAAGCCCAACTTGCCTGCAAACTTCAAAGACTTTGTGTCTCTTCTTCTTTTAAACACCTAAGGCTTTTGCAGATCTGATGAGCAACCTCTAACTAGGAAAAAAAATCCCATCTAGACTATGCTTGTTTGATAATTAGAACCGAGATTAAAATAGCCCAGAGAGATGCCCACATTTTCCCAGATAAAGGGTATTGCAGCAACTTCCTGGTAGCCTAAGGGCGAACGCAGGCTAATTACTTGCATAAAACAGAGCAGTTGTAACTATTTTCCTGTTGAGTGCAGAAGCACCCGAGCAGCTGCCGACTGATCTGCATTGACTGAGTATAAACAGGTTCTAAGCTGCCGAACAGCTCTGTGTCTGTAACTGCTTAGGTCGAGACAGGCGGTACCGTTGTGGGACTGACTCATTTTCTGCAGGTTTTTTAATTTCAGCTGCCACTGCTCATGAATTTCCAGGTTGGAAGGTAAGAAACGAGGGGTTGCTGCTCCAAGGCACATCTGAGTAAGACAGAGAAGTCACGTTCTCTGACTGCTGGTACACAGTAAATCCAGCAAGCGTGGATTTCGTGTCAGAGCTTTAGTGTGATACAAATCCGACTGGTCAGCATGTATTGCTGACAACACGTGTTCAAGACAACAGGCTACTTGTAACATCTCCCTGCTCTACAGAGAGCTGGGCACGTGTGTTAACGACACCACAAAATCTGAAATTTGGAGAAATACAGTAGTTAAAAAGAAAAATATAAAAGGAGAGTAACTATTACACTTTTGAAATATGAATTTAATATTTGACATTAAATACGAAATGAATGTCTTGAAGTGTTGCTGAATCTCGGCAGTATTGATTGCAGGAGCAGTGGCTGATCCCGGCTGAGATCCAGACTGTTGCCCTGAGGATTGCTTTTGCATTACGCAGGAGTTGATTTGAGACAAACACATGTTACTGTATAAAAAACAAAACCAAAAGAAAAAAGGACTTCCCAGATATTTCCCCCTCTGTCATACCCAAGCTTATGCTCAGCAGTGTCTTTTTGTACCTCCCTTTTCACTGTCATCCCTCACTTTTGGGGGATCCTTTTTAAGTCCCTTGGGGCAAACGCTTACACTCTTTGTGTGTGTTACACTTGTTCTCCTTGCAGGCTCTTACTCTCAGACGTAACGAACAGCCACGCTGAAATGACTTGCTTAGAACTCAAATGCTAACCATCTCTCTTAAAATAGAAGCTCGTTTTACTCCATATAAGAACAAGTGTGTGGTTCAAATTCACTAAAGACTTGTTTATTCTATGGTGTCAAATAAGACTGTGGCCCTCTACCTTAAAAAGGCCAGCATGCCGTAAGTTACTCCTACTGTGGGGAAGGAACCCGTGGGATAGGTGATGGATTTGAAAAGCCAAGGACATACTTCTACTTTTCTGCTGACCTTTCCAAAAGATACAGAACAGACATATTAAAAAACATAATTGAATTCACATACGTGTTATTTGGTGGGAGGGACTCCACCGTTCAGCGCAGAGTACTCGCTGCTTCCTCAGCGTTATGCCAACTGGAATTATTTAAGGATATAGGCTGCCATTCTGCTATTGCATATTAAGTGTGCAACCCTGAGACTTGATAAAACACAATGAATCTTCAAAAGTTATGCTTTTTTCTGGTGTTCTCCAAGATTGATTTTCTTTTTTTTAAGCCTCTTAAGTTGGAGGAGGAGGGAATGTGATAAGATACAGGATGGTACAGCCTCTTTGTGGTTTGCAAAGTAGGATTGAATGGCTAGGAAAATAACATTTTAAACACTTGAGAATTGATGCTATCCAGATGCAAAGAGGTTTGTTTTTTTTTTAATTTCTTGAGGAGCTAAATGATAGATGGCATTGAGCTGTGAATGTCAGCTGAGATTAGAAGGGGCTTGTATATCTCTGCTTAAACAAGTTTCCTTCTCTTTTGGTTAGAGATAAAGTTTTGGTCCTTCACTATAAAATTAGGGCACAATAATAAAAACATGGAATGTCAACAGGATCGCTGGTAGCAGAATTTGACTTCATCCAATAAGGTAAAAGCAAGTAAAGATGAAATTTCAGGCCTGACTCCTAAGCTTTTTAAAAATGAATAATACAAATGCCAGTATCCCTCCTTATTTACAAAGGATTTAAAGCAGATCACCTTGAAATAGGATTTGTTAAACCAAATACGACGAGCAAGTGTTTTTGACCGTTTGCTGCATAACGCTCGTCAACGCTACAGAAGTTCACTGATTCCCTTCGCGTTTCAGGTCCAGCGGTTGTCCCTCACCAGTACTATGGAGTTACGCCCTGGGGAGTTTATCCTGCCAGTCTCTTCCAGCAGCAAGCTGCCGCCGCCGCTGCCGCCACCAATTCGGCAAATCAGCAGACCACTCAGCAAACCCAGCAGGGCCAACAGCAGGTATGGGCTAGGATGCTGTGCACGTCAGGTTGTTTGCAAGGAATACAGCAGCTTCGAAGAATCCCAAATTTTTTATTTTATTTTTCTTCAATGACCACTCCTGACCCTCAGTTTTAAGTGAGGAGAAGAGCATTTGGCTTCTTAAAAAAAAAAAGAAAAAAAAAAAAAGGGAGAGAGGGAACCATCTATACGTTCTCTTCTGTCATTTACGCGTCTTGCATGTGAAGGGTGTGTATGTTTGGAGTGGTGAATTATTGCATGTTAATGCTTTGGAAAACAAATAATCTGATCAGTTTGTGGGCCGTGCTGAGCGATGCAGTACCAAACACACGCTGTTGGCGTTGGAAGTCAGCATCTTGCCATCTTGCAATCTGTTTGCATGCCCATCGCTGCAGTGTGAAGGATGTGGAGACTCTGAAGATGTGTGTCAAATACTAAATGTCAATAAGTGGTATGTTCTCATCTTCAGGGTGGTGTCCGGGATAGGATGCTTTTTTGTTCGTTCGTTTGTTTGATGAAGATCGGTTTTACAAGGGTCAAAGTAACAACAGAATGAATTGATTTGGTGTCCATGTGAGGACTTGGAGACAAAAGATGAGTGCGAAAAGAAAACACTGAATTTGCTGTTTTTATAAGGCAAACTGTGCAGCTGTTTTGCTGTAGTCTACACAAAAATTTGGAGAATTTGACACCTAAAGGGACAAAATGAATGAAGTTAGTGAGGGGTTTTCATATGATCTGCTCTTACCCCCTTAAGTGTGTTAGAGATAAATATTGAGACAGGTATCTGTTGTTTAAATGGTATTTGTTTTTTTAAAAAAAAACAACAAAGAGGTCACACTGGGGCTGATAAGGGGAACTTTTTCCTTACATACTTTGTAAATGATGTGTGCTTGATGGGGTTTGCACCATCCACCTCTTCCATCTTAATCCCTTGGCAGTGACGTTGTATTATATAGCCTGTACTTTTTCTTCTGTTGAAAATTGTGCATTTTTGTGATGAATTACTGTGTAATTTCTTGTTTAGTTTTTTTTCTTTCTTTTTTTCTTTCTCTATATTTGGAATTAAACTAGGTTAATTTTCCTAACTTCAGTTAAGTAAAATAAGCATTTTAAAGGTCTGGTATTTAATCATAGTTGTACCTCTGATGCAGACAACACAAATGTGAATCAAGGAACTGCGGGAGCAGAAGGTGGAAACTAAGAGGCTGGTATGAGAAATAATAGGGAACAATAATTTTCTTCCTTTACGATAACAAAAAGCCACCCTAAACATTTTACAAAGTTGTATGGGAGTGCAGATTGCTAGCTTGCTATTTAAATCAGCATTTTTAAAAAAAATTCCAAACTTCAAGATGAAACATGGTTGCTAAACCCATGTAATTAAGTTAAACGCTAGAAGGGTGAGAGGCGTCCCACCATCCTTGGTTCGGTTCTTGTTCCCCTTGGACACATGGTTGGACATGTGCCACTTCTTTCAGACCTGGGAAGGGCCCTTTCTTGTACTCTTACTCCTTTCTTGTAGTAACACCAAGCCTTCCTTTCTGGTCCTCCTGGGTTAGAGAGCAATTATAGAAGATAGCAATTAGCAGTTGAGTTTATTAGCTTCTGCTTTGAAAACTAAAACAAAACCCAGTGTTTGGTAGCACTAGAAGACCTTTTTGGAGAATAAAAGCAGTGCTGTTTCACACCGACAACTCTGGATCGAGAACACTTTGCTCCTGACAAAGTTAATCACCAAACCTCCCTGCCTGGCAGGTCACAGACGGGAGCGTGTTGAACAGACCTGCTCGCACCCGTGCGCACAGGTAAAACGGCGCTAAGAGTGTGTTAAAGCCAGTTATGCTTTGGCGTTCAGACTGGGAGCCTTTCCCCGAAAGGAAGGCATGTGCTAAGAGAGCTTCTGCAAAGGCTTAGGCTATGAAATAAAAGATATCAATCATCAGCAGTGTTTATAATTTCTTTTTTCATTACTTCAAGAGCCGTGAAGCAGGCATGAGCGGGGATCGTGGGTGTTTTTTTAATGCAAACCTTCCATCCATAAGAGCATACAGTGTGTATTTTCTGGATGAAGTTTTTCTAAGAAGTGCTGTGGCACATGTTTTGGAAACCTGGAGCGATGATTATAGGTAGTTGATTTGTGATACTCACGACACCTTCATAGCGTATTTATACAAACCGCCAACACTTCGCTTCCTGCAGCCTGCCAGCCGTCGTGGGCACTCTGCGCAGTGTCCTTGCGCAGTGCGTGCTTACCCAGCACCGTGAGACTCCCTGGGCTCAGGAGTTCACCTTCAGGCTTTGACAACGATAGCAAACTCTGGGATGCACGTCTGTCTTCAGGATCCTCCCCATGTCTCTCAGTGCACAACGGCATTTTTTCCTTTCAATATCTTTATCGGGTGACACACATGATGTCGCTTTTTTGCGGCGAGGCATGTCGAGTACCGAAGGATGGCTTTTTTAATAAGCTGACCTTGCCAGTGGGTGCAGACTCTTGCATCACCACTTTGAGTAAAAGGCTTTTGCAAACAAAGCCTGTCAAGGTAATTACAGGAAAGGTCAGTTTGCCATCTTCCCTTTTGAGAGCGACATGTGCTTCAACCACGAGAGCTACGTATAAAAGTGATCTTTGGTCATTATTTCCGATGAGTAAGTGTCATGTCACCGGGTCGCTGTTTTCTACGGGGGCTGGCAGCTTGGAAAAACCCATGTCACCTCGTGTCACCAGCCCCCAGCTCCTAAGTTGGGCTTTTTAAGGTTTCTGCTCAAGTGGGCTTTCAGCGGTGTTTTTGTGCCAGAGAGCAAATGTTATCTGGGATGGGGCAGATGGCTTGCAACCGCTTGTAACAAAGGATGGGTGTTGGAGGTGCATCAAGAAATGAAAGAGGTCAGATGATGAAGCTCAGTAAGCCTGAGAAGGGATGTATTATTTAAATTGGTCTTCTGCTCTTACCCCTGGTAGTAGTGTGAAGGCTTGTGGTGGGGAAGACAACTCTGTCCTGAGCAAAGGGGAGGGGTTGTCACACGCCGGTTGTGACAAAGCTGCCGTTGAGTGCAAGAACTTACACTAGATTGCTGCTGATGCTCCCGCACGTGTCTGGTGATTGTGGCTTGCTCCTGGGTCCCAGAATAAACAGATCAATGTTCCTCTGTCTTCTCCAGGTTCTACGTGGAGGAGCCAGTCAGCGTCCTTTGACCCCAAATCAGAACCAGCAGGGACAGCAGACCGATCCGCTGGTGGCTGCTGCAGCCGTCAATTCTGCCCTTGCCTTTGGACAAGGGCTGGCAGCGGGGATGCCAGGTAGGGGCTCCCAGGGAGCTGCAGCTTCTCCAGTGCCCAGGGAGAGCTGAGAAAATTGTATCTCCTGTCTCTGCATGGTGTCACGTTTGCCTGGCATTCAGCAGTGGTTTGGTTTTATTGGTTTTTTTGGTTTTAATCTGTGGGTGTAGAAGGCATTTTTGAGAGGCTGTTAGATGTGAACCTAACTACCCATGCAGCATTTAAGTTAAATCGGGGTTTAAATCCCTGTGTCACACCTGAAAAAAATTGTTATCAACAGTATTGCTGTATGGGTGCATTAGCTGCTTGTGTAATCAAAAGAATTGACGGCTCCTATTGAAAATTGCTTTCGGATTTTTCTGTGGATCATGCCAGCTTACGTGATCATTATTTTAAAACCTCAGAGATATCTTAGTCCCATTCATTAGCCTTGTCTCTGCATCCCTGCTGGGTGCTTGACTTTAACAGGACAGGGACTTCATGATTTCTTCCAGGCAAACACAAGTGGCTTAAAAACAAGAAAAGAAAATGAATAAAATGGAGGGTTTTATTTTAATTTATAATTCTGCAAGAGAGGAGCTACTGTATGAATTCTAACTCTGATCCATGAGACGGTGTGGTACAAATGCTTTTGACATTCAGTTGTACGCAGTATTAGTGTAGTGGCAAAGGGCAAATGTAAGTATGTTTTTGAAGGATGTGCAAGTGTGTCCCACTGGTCAGATATAAGAGAAGAGGATTATTTTGACCTCGGGTCTCCTCGCTGGAAGTGTCACATGGTTGTTACACAGGGTTTTTTATGGTTTAAGAAGAATGTTGCTGTATTAAGTTACAAAGTGAACTGTAACATCCATGTTTCCAAGCAATCTGCAGATTTCCTTAAATCTGCATTATTGGGGTTTTGGGGTTATATTTGCGAAGCACGTATTCACAGAGAACATTCTCTTTGTGACCCCACCTTGGAGAATCACTTCAGTTTTTCCGGAAAGTTTTATTTAACTGTAGAATTATATAGCAAGGTACCTATATAGCTATACACTACTTAAAGTTTGTTGCTTTGTGTATCACCAGCATATTTAAGAGTTTGTATTTACATATACTAAAGAATGCTTTGTGACACATACCTTCAAGAATACATAACTTTAAGTTCCACATCTTGTTCGCATGTGTGTGCACGCTGAACAGCTCCGACGTACAGCGGGAGAGTTGGAAGTGCCGTATGTTCATATATACGAAAAGTCCCAGCACACGTGTACTTATAATGGAAAAGAAATAGTGCTTTTGTATTTTAAGACCTTTTTTTATCTATATAATTGAATTTACACTGGTATAGTAGGTTTGGGGGAGGGGAAGTCATCTCTACCTGAAAGTCTTACTGTTGTAAAGTCATAGACTGTTAATACAGATTATGTGATTATATTGGGTTTGTTGGGTTTTTTTGCTTCAGGAGAAGCAGAGCTGCTGTTGCTTTTTCTTTTTCCCCATTCAGATTTTCCTTTAAAACCCTTATTGCACTGTACTCATCTGAAGGTGATTGATCTGCCACGTGTTGCGTTACTTGTTACCTGACCTGTGCACCTGTAATTTGCCTCGACAGGTTACCCGGTGCTGGCTCCTGCTGCTTACTACGACCAAACAGGTGCTCTGGTGGTGAATGCAGGGGCTAGGAACGGGCTGGGGGCCCCCGTCCGGCTGGTAGCCCCCGCTCCAGTCATCATCAGCTCTTCCGCGGCGCAGGCAGGTGAGTCCCAGTCCTGTCAAGTGAAAATCTGCTCCGTCCCCAGTGGAGGGTGGACCTGAAATCCTCTGGGCTCTGCTGGCAATGACGACACACTTGCCCTCACTGAGGTCCCTTGCGGGGATCGTTGTTGAGAACGTCCTCCGTGCTCACTGTGGGCTGAGCCTCCAGAACGGCCTCAGAGAGGTAGCGTCCCATAAACTCTATTCTTTTGCAGAGTTTCACGATAGTTATTTAAATTTGTCTGCTGGCATCTAGTTTCCCACGTAACAAATGGTTTTAGCTGGCGTAGAACTCCCAAATGATCACCTTGCGTAAAACGTTACATGCCTGGCCTTTGCCAGGAGTTGTTTCAGGTTTTATTAGGGCTCTTTGGGAGTTCAAGGCTTCAAAAGGATTTTTTTCAGCCAGATTCTGTGCGTGTAAGCAGTCTTTGCCAGTGTTAGTAACAGATTATGAAATGGGCCTTTAAATTGTTTCCTTGTAGCGCTTGTTTATTTTGCTTTTTCTTTTACTTTGGAACTGTCTGCAAAACAAAAGTACTTGGTTTTGATGTTCTTAGCACCACAGGATTGCTTTTCGTGCGCTAAAGGACAATTTTGCTTATTTCAAAACTTGTGTTTCTTAATTGGATATTGCTAAGTGTGTGCCTATATTGATTTGAATCTCAGATCTTAGGAGAAAGGGAACATTTTTGTGTGTTTGATCTGTGTAGCTCTAATAATACAAGCAGCAATAATAACTGAGTGTTGTTGGTATTCAGTGACTGTGCAAGACTTGTGGAGCTCAGATATAAAGATACTTTATGCAGAGTTTGATGCAAAAGGGAGGTTTTCATCCTGAGAGGAAAGAAAAAAAATCTATAGTAAATAAAAGGAATCTGCTAAGTTTTAACTTCCAAAACTGCTATGAAAATGGATTTTTTCAGACTATGCTTCCAATTACTTTCTCCCCAGCGGTTGCGGCGGCCGCGGCTTCAGCCAACGGTGCAGCGGGTGGCCTGGCAGGAACGACAAACGGACCATTTCGCCCTCTAGGAACTCAGCAGCCCCAACCCCAGCCCCAGCAGCAGCCCACCAACAACCTGGCATCCAGCTCGTTTTACGGCAACAACTCTCTCAGCAGCAATTCCCAGAGCAGCTCACTCTTTTCCCAGGGCTCTGCCCAGCCTGCCAACACTTCCCTGGGATTCGGAAGCAGCAGCTCTCTCGGTGCCACGCTGGGGTCTGCGCTGGGAGGGTTTGGGACAGCAGGTAAGATCAGGAGCTGCTTCACGGGGAGGAAAGAGAGAAGCAGAGCGCTCCAAGTGCAGCTGATGGGCTTGTGAGCCGCTGGAGCTGCTGAGCCCTTTCATCCTTCTCAGGCTAAATGGAAATTTTCCTTTAGGGACTACTGTGGCTTTCGGAATCTGCAGCTTTTAGCTTCTTTTAGTAGGTGATACATGAGAAGTACCAAAGTAATGAATTTGTTTTGTTATACACATTGTCAGTCATCCCCTTGTTGCTACAGATTAAGTTTTTAAACAGCTTTGAATTTCCTTGTCTTTACTGGCATGTGCTTGGTGGAGATACTGCACTAACAGGAACTGGCTCCAGAGTGGTATCCGTCCGTGTGCTAGCTCTGACCTCAGAGTAATGGCTAAGTAACTTTTCAGGATCTTAAAAAAGCTGATCCGAGGTGATTTCCATGCTTTATTCTGGGAATTGTTTCTGTCATACACCAAAAAAATTCACTTATTGTGGCTGTGAGAAATGTTACATACATGGCTTGTTTTCATTTGTTTGTTAGGCAATTGGAAACAAAGATTTTTTTTTTTTTTTTTTCAGAATAAAACCAAACCAGAGCGATGTCTGTGGGATGGGTGGGTTTTTTTGTTTTTTGAAGTAGAACAATTATTTTAATTACTGCTTCATCTCAGAGGTAGTAATTATGTCCTGAATTTTCCTGCTTTCATCAGTGTGAAGGGCAAGTTAAAACATGCCTTTTGAACCTGCTCCATCAGAAAAGACTGAGGGACATACTGTCACCGCATCAAATCAGTTTTAAATGAAAGTTATTCTAAATATTTTTCTTAAACCCAGTTTGAGAATTTGAACCTTCTTGGATTCAGGTAAACACAGCATTCACTTTTTTCACTTCAGGTTATTTAACTAATTGAATTCAATTACTAGTTTGCTCAATGCCAAGATGCACAAACTTTTTTCCCCTCAATCAATGAATAAAAATATGAGGCTGTTGCTTCTAGAACTTGTATGCAGTCATGAAAAATGATTAGTTCATGACAGTTAACAATTTCACTATTTATTAAACAAGACTTTAATGCAAAATTGATTTTTTTTCCCCTCAAGTTGACAGTGCATTTAAAGAGTTTGTATTTGACTATCAAGACAACTTTTCAAAAAATTGTTGGGTTTATGTGTTAAATTGAATTCTGATTTCCACCTCAATAAAGCATGGTGCAAACGGGAGCTGTTTTCTAATATAACGAAAGGCGAGCAAAAGGATTTCAAGTAAATGTATGTGAAGCTGTGTGTGCTCTTAAGTAAACACAAATAGATAAAATCTCATGTTGAATTTGTTTTAGCTCTAATGGCCAAAGAATAAATACAAGGCAATGCTTGTAGGGCAATATAATACCTTCTGTTAAATGAAGTGATATCATAGAATCATAGATAGATATGCTTAGGGGAAAAGAGTTTTGAAGTATACAGACCTTCTTCTGAAGGTTCAGAAGTGAAGCATTAAGTGTTTGTGGCCAAAAGCCAACGTGTTTGCTGTCGTTCCATTCTGTCGCTTCCTTCAGGTAGATTTTTATCTTCTTGATCTTTCTGCTTGTAGATTTTTTGGAGCGGTATTTCTGAATGTGTTCTATTGGTAAAAAACCTACAAAACCTTAAATGCAAAGACAGGATTCAAGCTAGTTGTTTAAATCAAGGATTTCTGCTTTATCATTAACAAAGTGGTTTTAATTAATTAGCGTTTCATTTGGGCCATGCAGTACTCTTAGGAAAACAACAGTTGTACTGGCTCTCCAGCTATCCAGTTGTCTTGTGCAGCTTGTTGACATCACACAGTTTGTCTCGGGCAGCTTATTGACATCACACAATTTCACTCTGTTCCTCTTTTCAGTCGCTAACTCCAACACGGGCAGCGGCTCCCGCCGCGACTCCCTCACAGGGAGCAGCGACCTATACAAGAGGACATCCAGCAGTTTGACACCTATAGGACACAGTTTTTACAATGGCCTTGGGTTTTCCTCCTCTCCTGGACCTGTGGGAATGCCTCTGCCCAGCCAAGGACCTGGCCACTCTCAGACTCCACCACCTTCCTTATCTTCACACGGATCATCTTCAAGTTTAAACCTGGGTAAGAGGCGCGGTGCCACTGTCCCAGCACTGCAGGTTACTGCTCTGCGCTCCCTGGGCGCAGGGACGTGACCACCCCGCTCTGGGTAGGTGAGATACCTGCTGCCTGGTTGCTGCTCTTGTTCCTGGGGCAGGGTCCTGGCTTTTGCAGAAGAAGTAGGGGAAACACTGAAGCAGGGAGTTGTAGCACCTGTGTTGAGGTGTTTTGTCTCTTGCAGTAGTTCAGTTGTTAAACAGGAACGTTTCTGCATTGCCTCCGTGTGTCCTCAGCTCTAAATTACGGGTAACGTTTCCAAGCGTTTGAAAAGCAAGCTGTTTTTCTTGCGCAGATCTCGGTAACAGCACCGATTGCTTGTTATCCTTGAACAAAACGGACATGGAGGGCTGAGCCTTAAACTTGTCAGATGTTTTAAAATGTCCGTTAAATTTTCAATAATAAATTACCAGAGCTTACAGTTTCTTCTTTTAAGCAAAATACGCAACATGATCGGGAGCAGTACGTGGCTTTTAGCTGAGGATTTTGCGAGTTTGCTTTTGAAAATTTCCCATCAACGCGACCTTGTCAAAAGCACGTTAGTGCATGGGAGAGGCTTTCTTAATTTTGGTGAGATACATTACTTTATGCAAGCTACATCTTCTGGAAGAGATTCTAGTTGGCCCAGAGCTTTTATATACAGTAAAGTAAATCTTTAAAATAAATAAAGCAAATATTAAATAATAAAGCAATACTCATCTGAGCTTCCTGAAGTGTTCATTTCCAGGTCTTAGAAACAAACAAGATGGTTATTCATTGCATCCGCACCAGATAATTTAGTACTTGCTCAGAAAAAAATCACTTTGTTTTGGTTCTGTCACATAACTGTATGGATTTAACAAAACTTTTGGTTATCAGAACAGTTTTCCATGCATATACACACTCATCAAATACTATATTTGTCATTTATTACATGCGTGTGTGATAAATTTGATGCTGGCTTAAGGTTAGCATGGAATAAGTAATAAATATGATTTTTCAAGATGAAGTTTAGATTCACCATCTTTCCTCGTTCGGAGCTTTAATAGAATTGAAAGGTGTTTAGCTTTATTTATGCAGCTGTACAGTCCTTAAGCTGACAGTTAAATAGCTACAATAATTTAACGTTGAAGACTAACCAGATTCCAAACCTGGCGCTAGAAAAAGTCTGTTGCCCCTGCAGGCAAACAAAAGAATGAATCTTAAAAACTGGATCAGAGAAAGGTTAATCTGTTTGAGAACAAACTCTGGAAAGAAAACGGAGTTACCATTTACATAAACGGGTTGTGTCCCAGAGCGGTTTGCGTGGGTCTTCCCGTCTTGGCAAAATATTCCTCTCCTTGTAGCCAGGTTTCCTCCGTGGCTGCCTTTGTGCTTGGCAATGCTGCAAGAAAAATCTCTCCTGGAATAGCTGTGCATTTGTGTGGTTTTCACCTTGAAATCCGTAATGTTAATTTTTTAAGTTTCTCTGTCACATGTAATGGAAGACAGTGTTAAATGTAGTCGTAGTTTCCTTTGGTTATAAAATAAGTTTTAATGCTATAAAAACAGCACAGGTATTGTTTTTTCCTTCTAAGAAGCTTGAGGCTGACTCTTTTTCTATTTGGGAGTGATAGCAGAAGTAGTTTGTGATAAAGAGGATGAGCACTATTTCTAAATATCTAAAAATGAAAAGACAGATGGGAACACCCAAACGTCGTGTTTGCCAAAAGGGAAATTAGAGCAGTCGGGTTTAGAACGACATCCTGCCACCACATTATGTGGGGGGAGGCAGCCTGGGGGAGGCACTTCGAGTAGCTTCGACTTCAGGGTTCCGCAATGACGTCAGAAGTTGGCATTAAATCTGACTTGCCCTCAGCAAATCTGTGGTTAAATGCCATGTGAGTTGTGAGTTTGACTTGTCACGTCTCATGGATGCACGAGTCGATCGTTTGTTGGGTTGGTGGTGTGTGTAAAGATTCAGCTCCGGCTCTTCTGGCTTTCTGAAAGCTCATAGCTGTGAAAAATGGTGAGTATTTATCAAGCTAGGCTTTTTTTCTGGTGTTGTAAAGTGACCTTGTGAAATGTCTGGGCAATCACAAGTACCTGAAATAACCGTGCAGCCAGTTCTTAGGAGAAGAACGACTGGAGGAGAGAGGCTCAGCTAAATACGAGCTTTAAACTCGAAGGCGTATGCGACACATGCAACTGTGCGTAGCTAGGATAAAGCAGCTGTGAATAAATAGGCACTTTTGGGTGCTAAAGGCAGCCAGGGGCCATCTTCTTCCCCAGTATGGATCAAAATTACAGAATTATTAATTACTAAATACATTTTTTAAATGATAAAATTTAATTTTGGCCAGGTTACACTTCACATAGGGTTCACGTCAGCCCTTGCGTATGTAGCTGCCGTGGTTCCATAGAAACACTTCCCACGCTGCAGCCTGGGGCTGACTCTGTCCGGCTTTGGGTTTTCCCACTTTGGAATGGGGATCAGGATTTGCAGCAGCTAAGTAATTATTTTAATTAAATTATATTCTTGCAGGAGCTGCTTGGGAGGGAACTGCCCCATACTGTAGTCAGCGTGTGATTTGAAAGGCAGGATTGGTGTAAGGAGGCCGATACACGCACATGGGAATTTAATTTATTAGAGATGTTTTGGGGAAACTGGCTGGGGAGCTGATAACCAGTTTGCTGTGGCTGACTGGGAGGGCTGGAGGGCTGCATCTCCCCGGGGCAACTGGTGGGACACTGGGCGAAGGGCTGGGGCAGCGCCTGGGGGGGTCTGGGTGCCCTTCCCA